ACAACAACAACAACAACAACAACCGCCATTCGCCACTAAGTGGCGGTGACGTCACCACGACGCTTGTGCCAGGCTATGTGCACCCTAAGGCCACGTGAAGTGTCGAACGCCCGCTGGCAGGAGGTCACGGGGCAGACCCAGGTGCCACGGGTCAACTGACTGAGATGACTGGCTGATGCACCACCTGTGCCCCCTACTGTGCCAACCTGCTGTGCTTTAGCCACCCGGCGCTCCGCTCGTTGTTCTGAGCGTCGCTCCTCCGTCCTCCGTTGTTGTTGGAGGGCGACTGCCTCCAACTGCCCAGTAGCGTCCTTCACGAGCCTCCTCCACAGAGGCCGATCTTGACACCGCTGGTACCAGTCATCAGCAAGTCCACTCAGCTCCACGTCCTCCTGTACCACATCACTCCATCTCTTCTCTAGCCCGTGCCGCGCCCGCTTAGCCCCCTCAATCCGGCCAAACAAAAGCTGTTTCGGCATGCGGTGGCTGGGCATGCGGGCTACATGACCCAGCCATCGCAGCCTTGCCTGCCGGAGGAACTCACCGATGGGACCCTGCCCAGATCTTTCAAGGATTTGTGAGCTCCTCACACAATCCAGTCTGGTTAAACCCAGGATGGATCGTAGGCAGGCCAGCCTAAATGTTTCTAACCGGCGAAGATGTTCCATTAGGGGGGTCCACGTTTCGCAAGCGTAGAGAAGGGAGGGAATGACCGTGGCCGAGAAGACCTGAAGCTTAGTGCGGAGCGACAGACCAGGTAGCTTCCACACAGCGTTACGCAACCGATGAAAAGATATTGCCGCTCGACTGATTCGGAGTGAGACCTCTGCTGTTAAACTGGAGCCAGTCATAAGCACACTGCCCAGGTATGGGAAACTCTCCACTCTCTCCACAACTGCCCCATCACCGATTGGGAGTTGTGGGGGTGGAGTGTCCGATGGTACAAAATACCCAGGCAGGTGCTTAGTTTTGGTGGGGCTGATGGTAAGGCCCCACCTCTTAGTGGCACGCTCCAGTCTCAGCAGCAGCGTCTCCAACTCCTCCTCTGACTGAGCAGCTATTACCAAATCATCAGCATACATAACGTGGTTGAGCAATAGGGAGCCATCCCTTGACCGCACCCGGGCATCGATTAGCCTCCCATTATATCTGTACCATATGGAGATTCCCCCGGTACAGCTATTGAAGGCTTCACGAACTTCGTGGTCAAAATAGATGTTAAATAATGTGGGAGCCAGAGGACATCCCTGTCGCACCCCAAGGTGTACAGGGAATGGCTCTGACTCCCGGCCACGTAGTTTTACCCGGGCCCGCTCACCATCATGAAGGTCCTTAATGATTGTGAGCAGAGGGTCAGGTACTCCAAAAGCACGAAGAACGACCCAGAGCCCAGGCCTACTGATGGTATCATAGGCCTTGACCAGGTCAATAAAGCAGAGATGTAGGTCTTGTTGGAATTCCCTACACCTCTGCTGTAGCAGACGGACAGAAAATATGGCATCTGTACACACAGGTACACACACACATACAGGTACACACACACACAGGTACACACACACACCCAGGTACACAAACCTACACACAGATACACACACACAGGTACACACACACAGGTACACAAACCTACACACAGGTACACACACATAGATACACAGGTACACACACACACAGGTATACACACACAGGTACACACACACAGGTACACACACACAGGTACACACACAGCTACACACACACAGCTACACACACAGGTACACACACACACACAGGTACTCAAACCTACACACAGGTACACACGCAGGTACACACACAGGTACACACACACACAGGTACACACACACACAGGTACACACACACACAGGTACACACACACAGGTACACACACAGGTACACACACACAGGTACACGCACAGGTACACACAGGTACACACACAGGTACACACACACAGGTACACACACAGGTACACACAGGCACACAAACCTACACACACAGGTACACACACAGGTACACACACACATACAGGTACACATACAGGTACACACACACAGGTACACACACACACAGGTACACACACACACAGCTACACACACACACAGGTACACACACACAGGTACACAAACCTACACACACACAGGTACACACACACACATACACAGGTACACACACACACAGGTACACACACACAGTGTACACACACACACACAGCTCCACACACACAGCTACACACACAGCTACACACACACACACAGAGCTACACACACACACACACAGCTACACACACACAGGTACACACACACAGGTACACACACACACAGCTACACACACAGCTACACACACACACAGCTACACACACACACACACAGGTACACACACACAGGTACACACACACACAGCTACACACACACACACGGCTACACACTCACACACAGCTACACACACAGTGTACACACACACACACAGCTACACACACACACAGTGTACACACACAGGTACACACACAGCTACACACACACACAGCTACACACACAGCTACACACACACACAGCTACACACACACACACACAGCTACACACACACACACACAGCTACACACACACAGCTACATACACACAGGTACACACACAGGTACACACACACACACAGCTACACACACACACACACACGTGTACACACACACACACAGCTACACACACACAGCTACACACACACAGCTACACACACAGCTACACACACACACAGGTACACACACACAGCTACACACACACACACAGCTACACACACAGCTACACACACACACAGGTACACACACACAGCTACACACACACAGCTACACACACACACACAGCTACACACACACACACAGCTACACACACACAGCTACACACACACACACACAGCTACACACACACACACAGCTACACACACACACACAGCTACACACACACACACAGCTACACACACACAGCTACACACACACACACAGCTACACACACACAGCTACACACACACACACACAGCTACACATACACACACAGCTACACACACACACACACAGCTACACACACACACACAGCTACATACACACAGGTACACACACAGCTACACACACACACAGCTACACACACACACAGCTACACACACACACAGGTACACACACACAGGTACACACACAGGTACACACAGGCACACAAACCTACACACACAGGTACACACACAGGTACACACACACATACAGGTACACATACAGGTACACACACACAGGTACACACACACACAGGTACACACACACACAGCTACACACACACACAGGTACACACACACAGGTACACAAACCTACACACACACAGGTACACACACACACATACACAGGTACACACACACACAGGTACACACACACAGTGTACACACACACACACAGCTCCACACACACAGCTACACACACAGCTACACACACACACACAGAGCTACACACACACACACACAGCTACACACACACAGGTACACACACACAGGTACACACACACACAGCTACACACACAGCTACACACACACACAGCTACACACACACACACACAGGTACACACACACAGGTACACACACACACAGCTACACACACACACACGGCTACACACTCACACACAGCTACACACACAGTGTACACACACACACACAGCTACACACACACACAGTGTACACACACAGGTACACACACAGCTACACACACACACAGTGTACACACACAGCTACACACACACACAGCTACACACACACACAGCTACACACACACAGGTACACACACATACAGCTACACACACACACAGCTACACACACACACAGCTACACACACACACAGCTACACACACACACAGCTACACACACACGTGTACACACACACACACAGCTACACACACACACAGCTACACACACACACACTGGTACACACACAGGTACACACACACACAGCTACACACACACAGGTACACACACACACACACAGCTACACACACACGTGTACACACACACAGCTACACACACACACACACACAGGTACACACACACACACACAGGTACACACACACAGCTACACACACACACACAGCTACACACACACAGCTACACACACACGTGTACACACACACACACACAGCTACACATACACACACGTGTACACACACACACACACGTGTACACACACACGTGTACACACACACACAGCTACACACACACAGCTACACACACAGCTACACACACACACAGCTACACACACAGCTACACACACACACAGCTACACACACACACACACAGCTACACACACACACACACAGCTACACACACACAGCTACATACACACAGGTACACACACAGGTACACACACACACACAGCTACACACACACACACACACGTGTACACACACACACACAGCTACACACACACAGCTACACACACACAGCTACACACACAGCTACACACACACACAGGTACACACACACAGCTACACACACACACACAGCTACACACACAGCTACACACACACACAGGTACACACACACAGCTACACACACACAGCTACACACACACACACAGCTACACACACACACACAGCTACACACACACAGCTACACACACACAGCTACACACACACACACAGCTACACACACACACACAGCTACACACACACACACAGCTACACACACACAGCTACACACACACACACAGCTACACACACACAGCTACACACACACACACACAGCTACACATACACACACAGCTACACACACACACACACAGCTACACACACACACACAGCTACATACACACAGGTACACACACAGCTACACACACACACAGCTACACACACACACAGCTACACACACACACAGCTACACACACACAGCTACACACACAGCTACACACACACACAGCTACACACACACAGCTACACACACACACGTGTACACACACCTACCCACACCGTCCGGTGTCCATGTGTGATCGCAGGGGACAGCGACAGCACCGGAGTGATCGCGGGGGCCTGTTGGGGGGCCCTCTGGGGTCTGGAGGGGGTCCCTGTGGGCAACAGCGAACACCTCGAATATCACGACAGACTCATCCACGCAGCTGACTCTCTCTACCGCCTAGCCTGGCCCCACACAGCCGCTGAGTAGTCACTCACTGTGTACTCACTCACTGTGTAGTCACTCACTGTGTAGTCACTCACTGTGTAGTCACTGTGTAGTCACTGTGTAGTCACTCACTGTGTAGTCACTCACTGTGTAGTCACTCACTGTGTAGTCACTGTGTAGTCACTGTGTACTCACTCACTGTGTAGTCACTCACTGTGTACTCACTGTGTAGTCACTGTGTAGTCACTGTGTAGTCACTCACTGTGTAGTCACTCACTGTGTAGTCACTCACTGTGTAGTCACTCACTGTGTAGTCACTCACTGTGTAGTCACTGTGTAGTCACTCACTGTGTAGTCACTCACTGTGTAGTCACTCACTGTGTAGTCACTGTGTAGTCACTGTGTAGTCACTGTGTAGTCACTCACTGTGTAGTCACTGTGTAGTCACTGTGTAGTCACTGTGTAGTCACTCACTGTGTAGTCACTGTGTAGTCACTGTGTAGTCACTCACTGTGTAGTCACTCACTGTGTAGTCACTCACTGTGTAGTCACTGTGTAGTCACTCACTGTGTAGTCACTGTGTAGTCACTGTGTAGTCACTCACTGTGTAGTCACTGTGTAGTCACTGTGTAGTCACTCACTGTGTAGTCACTCACTGTGTAGTCACTGTGTAGTCACTCACTGTGTAGTCACTCACTGTGTAGTCACTGTGTAGTCACTCACTGTGTAGTCACTCACTGTGTAGTCACTGTGTAGTCACTCACTGTGTAGTCACTCACTGTGTAGTCACTGTGTAGTCACTCACTGTGTAGTCACTGTGTAGTCACTCACTGTGTAGTCACTGTGTAGTCACTCACTGTGTAGTCACTGTGTAGTCACTGTGTAGTCACTCACTGTGTAGTCACTCACTGTGTACTCACTCACTGTGTAGTCACTGTGTACTCACTGAGTAGTCACTCACTGTGTAGTCACTGTGTAGTCACTGTGTAGTCACTCACTGTGTAGTCACTCACTGTGTAGTCACTCACTTTGTAGTCACTGTGTAGTCACTCACTGTGTAGTCACTGTGTAGTCACTGAGTAGTCACTGTGTAGTCACTGTGTAGTCACTCACTGTGTAGTCACTCACTGTGTAGTCACTCACTGTGTAGTCACTGTGTAGTCACTGTGTAGTCACTCACTGTGTAGTCTCACTGTGTAGTCACTGTGTAGTCACTGTGTAGTCACTCACTGTGTAGTCACTGTGTAGTCACTCACTGTGTAGTCACTGTGTAGTCACTCACTGTGTAGTCACTGTGTAGTCACTCACTGTGTAGTCACTGTGTAGTCACTCACTGTGTAGTCACTCACTGTGTAGTCACTCACTGTGTAGTCACTCACTGTGTAGTCACTGT